CTGATGTTCTTGGAGCTCTGAGTAGAACAGTTGTGATAAATGCATAAGCAGTAGTCCTTCTGTATGCAGCTTACAGTTGGAATGGATCACAAAATGAGATTTCATTTAAATGTCAAGTGTTCCAATAGCAGTCATCTTAGTAATTTTTTTAAGAAAGAAGGTCTTACAAGAATGTCTCTAAGTACAAAAGCAGGAATTTTTATAAAATACATGCTTACGAATGTAGGTGATAAATTAGAAATAAGATGGTGAACAGCACATGCAGTTGTAGATATAAATTATGTAAATCAGACATGAAGTTGTGAATAAACAATCTTGAAATAAAAATTACTAAACTTACAAGGAGCAGGTGGATACAGAATTTTGAAAGTAATGTTTCTTGCAGTCGCTATTAAGAAGTAATTAACTGTCTCTGAGGTGAGGTGACGTACTTTGATGTGCAAATCAGAAACATTTGTGGGCTAAATCTACAAGAACTTTGTCATTTTGCTTACAAATACCCATTCACTGTTTGAATGGCAGTTACTTTTCTGAGACTTTTGCATTTTTTCAACTTAACAATAATTGCTAAAATAACGTATGCAGTTTTATTATTTAGATTCTGGATTTTTTTTACTTGATGCTCAGTGAAATGCTAGTCATGCAGAAAGAAACTCTTACTAGCTCAGACAGATTGTCACATTTTTATTGCAGTCATACTACAATAGGATGGTTTGCAGAAGTCTGACATTAATTTATGGGGAAAAATATTCTGAACTAGTATCTTTCTCCTCAATAGTTACTCCTTTCCACTCTTGCTGCCAAATTGGAGAAAGGATAACGTTTCCGACTATTTCTGGTGACCAATTTTGTTTTCTTGAACTTATGCACAATGATGTCCCTGTTTCGTCTTAATACCTTTCTTTTCATGCTGATAGGTTAAATGAAAGCAAAATCCATTGCTCCAACTTCATATTTAGCTGTTTAAATAGTAAACTTACTACACTTAACTGAATTTCAATTGTGTTACAAACTGCCTTCAACCTCTGTGAATGAACTGTGCTGAAAAACCCAGTATTGATATTAGAAGTATGAAATTTACTGTAAATTGTTAAACTGAGTTATCCAGAAGATGGAAATTATGTTTAGATTTGACTTTCTAAGAGGAATGGGGAGAAATTGCAAAGACAAGACAAATATATAGAATAAAATATTTTTTATCAGAAAGAATTATAGCATTAAAAGTAGAGAAAAAAGATGTCTCCATTTTTATCTCTCTGATTCTTTAGCTTTAAAACAGATGAGGAAGATGTTCTTTGCTTCTGTGAAATTAAAAGCAATTTGAGCAGAAATTTTTTATTCATTCTGCCCTCCAAAAATACTTGTGTTTGGTAAAGTGTTAGAATTAGGATTTTTTCCAGTGTCAGTAGTGTAAAGATTATACATTGTTTATGACATGATGTGATGTATTTCTGTCAACCAAGTTGATATCAAAGTGGGATGCAATAAGTGTTGCTAATTCCGCATACAGTTAAGAAAGTAGTGCTTTTTAACTACTGAAAACTTGAGAAAGACTTCTGACTTAGCCTCTTCTATGACTCATTGAAGGATTATCGAGAAGACAGAACCAAACTCTCCTCAGAGGTGCACAGCAAAAGCGCGAGAAGTTATGGTCACAAGTTACATAAGTGAAGTTCTGATGAGACTCACGGGAAGGAAAATTCACCATGAGAGTGATTAGGAATCGCCATCATTGGAGATTTTCAGAACTCTTCTAGATAAGACCTGGAGAAACCTGATAAAGCTTTGGAGTTACGACAGCTTGAAATTATGGGTTGGGCTGTTAAGCCTCCTATTCCTGGTGTTGAGTGTCTTCTACTCTCTGTATTTTTCAGAACTAAAGGTTAGCTGTTGTCCTTTACAAGCACATAAAACTCTTCCGTTGTGAGTGTTCTGCAACCTTGTTATTCGGTGCTTTAACCATCTTCCATTCTTAAGGTTCAATGAAACAGAATGGTTTATGCAGAATAGAAAAGAAAACTTTCTGTGGAAAATCTAGAGGAAGGGGTATGTGGCATTTCAGCAAGTAACAATTGATGAGCTATGTATTTAGAAACCTGCTGAATACTTACTGTGGAAATTCATGTGTGCCACGGAGAAATGCATTTGGAGTGCCTCATAGCCGGTGAAAAGTGTTTGCAAAGTTCAAAACAGCATCTGTCTTTACCTCTATATTAAGCATTCTTATGGACTGTGTCTTTAATTTTTTTTCTTTTATGACATACACTGGTTAAACTCAATGTTTGTGAGTCTTCATGTGTCCTTATTCAGAGCCCCTGTGTGCATGCTCACCTGTGTTAGGGTATGTGTAATAAGACAGGAAAAAGGCAAGTGGTATAGAGACTTTATTAGGACAGGCTCATGACTATGTGTATTGTCACACTGCTGAATCTTCTGAAAGTTTTCAAACTTAAAAAGGAAAATTTCTATATAGCATCGCAAAATTTAGGTTCTATGTATGCCTCATTTTAAAGCCTTTACAAGAATTCTGGAAGGCTTTTGTTCTTTCTTGACATATTTTATTGGAATTCTTTTTTCATTCTTACTCTTGTCAAGCCTAATTTCCTATTGCCAAGAATCCTAATGCATAGGACTTTGAGGGAGAGAGAAAGTGTAAGTAATATATATCTAGAAAGCTCAAAAAATGCCTGCTTCTAAAAACTTCTCTCTGAAAAACATAGTCACAGAGTAGCAGCTGGAACTGTCAGAACTGAAAACAAGTGTTCAATTTCTTACACCACAGTTTTAGATTTTTATAGCCAGATAGATTTCAAGATCCTGGATCTGAAATCTATTAGTGATTAAGGAATATGTAGCCTGGACAATATAACTTGAGGTGGAAAGAAACCTTTCTTTGAAAGACAGTTTTGAAAACAATGTAATTTGAAGTAGGTGCTGTTTAAAGTAAATTCTGAGATTTAGATATTTAATAGTAATGGATAAACATTGCAACAAACCCCATTTTATAGTATAAAACAATAATGCAGTTGTATATTTGTTTTTTGTTGTGGCATAATACTTGTTCTTTTAAAGCAGTGTGTTCAGCAAGAGGGATTTGTAGCTTCCCCTCTTAAAAAAAAAAGAGGCAAAAGTAAGTTAATGGAAGGAGATGAATAATTGGAGTAATCCTACAGTTATTTATCATAGCTTTTATCACCAGCAATGGATGTTTGAACAACTTTTATATTGACCTAGTAAATAACTTCAGTAATTTTAACTTTTTAAGGTCTTGTTTCTTTCTTTTCCTTGAACTCCTCACCTCACTTCCCTGTTTTGTTGTTTAACAATTTTTCTAATTTTTTCATATTATTTTCTTATATTTTCTTATTATATTCTTTATTCTTATATTCTATTTCTTAATTTTTCTTATTCTCACTAAAGTCTTCTTCCTTTCCTGCCAGCATCTTCTTTAGTTAGAAGATTGAACTCAGTCTGTTCCTGTCTTATCTGGTCTTTTCGCATCGCAAAACGATTTTTTCCCTACTGTACTTCTGCCTCATTTTCCTTTGTTAGAAGAGCTGAAATCCTCTGTTCTTTGTCCTCTATCTGAGACATTTACAACCTATAGTTTATTGTAGAATATTTTAATCGGCAAACCTCAGCGTTAACAGACTTTAAATTCTTTAGCACTCTCATCTATCTACTTATATAACTTACAGTGACTTACAGCTGCTGTCATCTCAGAAAAGCTGAGACTACTTTGAGATTTTGCCTATGTTGCCCTTACTGAAGAACCAGTAAGAACAGTGAAGCTAAAGAGAGGGCAAAATTACTTGCTTCAGAGGTCTGGACTATGTATGGATGAAATTGGTGTAGTTTCACTTTAAAGTGTGAGAAAGAGTAGATGCAGTGTCACAGAACGATAAACTGTGGCATGAACTTTGGAGTTCAGTGATCTGTGACTTACTAAAGAACATGGAAATGAACCAGAAGATTTCTTGATTTATTTTTTTTTGAAGTTTTTTTAGGCTTTTCAAATTGGTAAGAGCATTATTTGTGTTCCACAATACCAGGGTGAAGTAGGTAAATATCATTACCTCTTTTTCACTCTTGCTGGACATCTTTAAAATCTATCTATCTGTTGTGCCTTACCTGAAGGATTGTTCTTCATGTTTTTTCTCTGACATGCTACATGTTCTTGGAAATCTCGCCAAAAATGTATGCCATCTCTTTTCATGAATGCATTGTGAAGCTCAAGGAAATATGTATTAAGTGTAATTAAAATTCCAGCTTAAAACCACTACATTTGCAAGTGCTATAATAAGATACAAGCACTGTTCTCTTCGGAACTGTGCTTGCTCTCCTAGAACTTTATAGAGTAGCAGTCTTCAGCAGCTTCTTCAGAAGGTGATTTTTGTGCTTGCAGTTGATGTTCCAAGTTCTTGAGCACCCAGATGGTAAAAGGTATTGAATGTTCTTTGTCTGACTCAAACCTTTAATCTGTATAATTAAAGAGCAATTGTATAGAATTGAATACAGTCTGTTTCTGTTTCTCTGTGTTGGCGTGTTTTGGCAAAGAGGGCCAGTATCAGTGAATGGCTATTCCTTGATGTGTGTACATCAAAAAAAACTTACAATATTAAGCTGTAATGTAGGCAGATTTCACTGCATGTGTTCCACAAGGAAATATTTGTCCAGCATTCTGGTGAAAGAGTACCACATCCTGATGCTCCTATAGAATATTTCAAGTTTTAATTTGTCTTACTCCGAATGTGAGGGTGATTGTTATTTTTAGGAATTACTGGACTACATAATCATAGTTCTTCTCAAAGAATAGCTCATGGTGCTATCTTGATATCCCAGGGAACTTCAGATTGCACTTCTGTTTATGCAGAAAATACTGCAACTATCCTGACTTGAGAGAGACATTTTTATACTGTTACATACTGTTAAAGAAATTTGATAGAATTTAGATGTGACTATCCAGAGATGTAAGTTTGTGATCCTCTTACTTGTTCTAGGTTATATGTCTCCACATCCGTCTCCACTAGGAGCACCTGAGCATGTGTCCAGTCCCATGTCTGGAGGAGGTCCAACTCCACCCCAGATGACTCCCAACCAGCCAGGACCCATTATACCAGGAGACCCACAAGTTATGAATCAACCTAACAGAGGGCCTTCCCCTTTCAGCCCTGTACAGCTGCATCAGCTACGGGCTCAGATTCTAGCATACAAAATGTTAGCTAGAGGCCAGCCTTTGCCAGAAAACCTCCAGCTTGCTGTTCAGGGCAAGAGGACCCTGCCTGGCATTCAACAGCAGCAGCCTCCCAGTGCCTTCAACAGACAGTCTGGTAAGTGAATCTAGGTCTTGTGTCATTGCGCGGGTAATTCTTGAAGGCCTAACTGTGGAAAATTAAGAAACGCGTGCTGTAGTGGGCTATGATTTGGGATTGTATTCCGGCATCTAAGTGAACAGCAGCCTATAAAATGCATCTATTGTTAACAGGATATTCTCAAAACTGAAATAAACATGATTTCACTGTGCAGTGCTGTGTCCATCCTGATTATGCTTGACATTTTTTGAATGTTAATCACACTTTACTGATCACAATTTTATTTCTTAGGAATGAGTTTTCAGTCTCCTGCCACTATGCAGAAAAGTAGATAAAAAAATCTGGAGCAAGTTGACCGATTATTTAGGTTGTTAAAAGTAAAACAAACCGTGTATAGTGTGCTGTCCAGTGAAAAAAGTAAGGAAAAGGAAAATGTTCTAATTTTTTTCTGCTAATGATAATAGATGTTACAGTGCGGTGAGCAAGCGCATTTTGGTCCTAAGAAAACTGTGTTACATTAAATGCCCTGCACCTGTTAGTTTCTGAACACTGCCATTACTGAGTTTACATTAGAAATTGAGGGTTAAGATGGTCTGTTTTCTTTTTGGTAATGATTTTAATAATTACACTGATCACTTCATTTTGGTGGATGTGGCTTTGCTACTGAGTAATGGATTTTTTAGGAGACATCATTTTAATATGCTTCATCTCATATATTTTTTCACAATAAAATCTACTTAAATCCATATTTAATGAAGAAAAATACTACTTGCCTGAATAGACTAGCATGTTAGGAAGCAGAATTATTGTTGAATACTTGGAAAATGCTTGGAAATGCTTTGTATCATAGTAAGTTTCTTTCCTCTGTCAAATTGTAGGTATTGGGTTACATACAATGGGTGGTGCTGCAAGTGGACCAGGGCCTGCTCCAGGGATGCCTGGACATACAGCTGCCATTACCCCTAAAACTTGGACTGAAGGTATAGTGGAGTATAATGCTAATTTTGTGTCATGTATAGAGTTATGGTTAAATATTGTGGGTAGAGTTTGGGGAAAAGATGCAGGGGGAAAAAAAGGGAAGGTGAAAAGGCATGCAGAAAAATAGTGTAACCTTTACTGTGCGTAGGACTTGAATCAAGGAGAGTCTAACCATTTACTCACCAGTGAATGGCTTGACCACATGAAATTACTGAATATACTGCAATTGTTAAGCAACCTGAACATGAAGCATCTTTTTACAAACAGAATGAAATATGTAAGCTGCCATAAAATCTACTTAATAAGTCATGTTCTGAGCATGCTTAATTGCACCAAGCTTGTCTTTCAACTATAGTCTTTGCTGCTGTAAACAAAAGTTTTCAAAGCATGGTAGAATTAGGGTGCATTTTTTTGTTGTTTTTTTTTTTTTTTTAATTGGATTACTTTGAAAGTTCAGTGTAGTCTTTGAGATCTAATGAACATGAATGAGATGTAACTTTTTTTCCCCCTGCGTGATGATCAGGTTTTGAACCAAGTCATTCAGATTTGGGTTTACAGACTGATTTTATTGTTCGAAAGTAGAGTGGAAGAAGTGTTGTATTGAAAAGAATTAGAAATCCCTAGTAATAGATATAGTTTGAAGTTTCAGATTTTTTTTAAAAGGGATTTAAAAATAAATACAATATTGCAGGCTTGCAAATAACACAGGCTTCTCATACAGTAGAAGTGTTATGCTATGTTGCTGCTTGTGGGTAAATCTGGGGACAGTGATGACTCCGTGATAGTTGATGTCTTAAAAAATTCTCTGTCATTAGTCAGCTACTTAGGACAACATAAAAAGAAAATGAAATACTAGTATGTAATCAGATGTAGAATTGCTTTTCTTGGAATACTCCCAATGAGTACTTACAATTTGAGTAGGATAATAAAGAGCGGGAAGAGTGTTTCTTGAGAAGCTGGATGTGTGAGTTTACCAGGCACAATGCCTTCTAGCTTAGATGCTGCTACTCAAAAATGCTGGCATGTATACAGAATTGCTAGATGGATAATTTTATCTAAATAATCCAGTATGTCATCATAATATGTCTGTTCTGTTTAACCATAAGCCTCTTACTGTTTGTCTTTTTTTTGTTGTTGCTGTTTTTTTAATAAGAAAAAATTTATCTGTCCTTGCTGTATCTATTTGGAGGTTTTATTTGATGTATTTTTAAAGATTATACTTGTTTCTTTATGTTTATTTTTCATTCATTACGCAGTTGTTCGTGGCAGTATTTGTCTTGCAGTTCAATTTGCATGATTACTGAAAACTGAGACGACACAGAGGCTTTTGGTGGGCTTGCTTTCTTTCCTTACGTTTTGTGAGCTGAAATGCAGTGTTGCTAAATACAGAATCTACAGCTTGTGCTCAGGTTCCTTTTCTGCAGTTTGATGCAGATGTGTGAATGACAAATGGTAATCTCTGAAGGAATCTTTTATGTAGATTTCAGGATGTTGGGTTTGAATCAAGGTTGATTACAAGATTACAGGTGTACTTTGTAGTTGTTTTTCCTAGCATTAAATTACTGTGACTCCTCAGACAATTAAGTGACATCTTTATTGCTGCAATGTCTGTTGTGAGTGACGATTTGTGAATATCTGAATACATGGGAGACTTGTCATAATGGCATACTGAAATCTATGACCCTTAGTGTCTGTAAATGGCAGGTACTATTTTCACGTTAACTGAGGTGTTAATTTTCAAGATGATTAGAATGCTGTAAGATAAAACAGTAATCAAATTCCTGGTATTTGAAATACTTAAATACAATTAATAGGAGATCGTAACGAAACAGAGGCGATTTATATATGACAGGTACTTCTAAATACAGTTGTAGAAATTTTAATATGGCAGTCTAGTTCTGATTGAGCTCTAAAAGCAGACCTACTTGTGCTTGTTGTCAGGTTGTGATTATAGGTGCCTTCTAAGTGTCAGAAGGGTAGTGAACAAGAGGCGGAATTAGGTCTCACGCTTGTACGAAGTCAGGTCTACAGATGTTTTATTTCTTCTAATGCTAGAATTAAAAGTCAGAAAAAAGAAATGGCATTCATCATAAAGTTTCAGGTGTTTTGTTTTTCTTTGGATCACTTACTGCAATGTATGTTATACTTGCATTTTAGTATGTTTTTTTAAATACAGAGTGTAGTCTCTCTCAGTGTGCTTTTTCTGGTGATTTTGAATGTTTACCTTAGCTTCACATTCTGTCTTCAGAAACTGTCTTGATTTTCTTCCTGTGTTCGATATTTCATGTTACGAATAAGTACTTTTTATGATTCAGGCCAGTCCCCAGATTTGAGTGTCTCCAATGCGCAGCAAAAGCTTCCTGCGCCACCCCCAAGTGGGAGGCCTTCTCCTGCCCCCCCTGCTGCCCAGCCTGCTGCAGCCATGCCTGGGCCTTCTGTACCACAGCCACCACCTGGACAGCCTTCACCCATTGTTCAGCTTCAGCAAAAGCAGAATCGCATCAGCCCTATCCAGAAGCCACAAGGATTGGATCCTGTTGAAATACTCCAAGAACGTGAATATAGGTAAAAAAGGAATAAAAAAATTCAAATGCATGTGCAAATTGTTGTTTCTCACTTTCTCAGCTGAAACTCCTTGCAATCAACCACTGTAGTGACAGTAGTATAAACTGAGTTTCCAGAGGGAGGCTGTGTCAGAGAGAAGCATGGAAACTTCAAACCTAACAGTAATTTAATTCTACCCCAGGTTATGAACTAGCGAAGCATACTGGCAGTATCATTGCAAACCGGGTAAGTTTAAAACAGGCTCAAGGACTCTGCTGGGTTAGTATATTACTTTGATGCTGCAAACACAGAAAATGAGGAAATCAAAATCCTTGTAGTCTACAAAGAAACCAATTCAGTACACAAAGTTTTCAGAATTAGAAGGGAAGTTAAAAGAGAACAGTGGAGGTCAACAGGCTGATAAGTTAGTGACCACAGGAAAAAAAAAAAAATTATTAGTGATGGTGGGACTGGCTGGACTACCACAGAGTAGAGAGAATATTAAGGAGGTCACAGGCAAGACTGAAAAAAAAATAAATTACCAGGAAGCATGATGTTTTAAAGTTGCCTCCCGAGTGCCCTAATTACATGGTGAATTATATTCATTACAAAGTATAGAGGATGACGTTTATTGTGCGGTTAGGAAAAGACTTCTTCCCTCATCCCATCAACAAGGCTGTTAAACAATTGATGTTGTGAATCTGCTGGGCAGAACGATCTTGGCCTGCACCTAAAATATGTTCCCGATGATTACTGGTCAGAGGAAAGAAGCTGCACTTTTTATACTTGCTTGTTTTGGACTGATGATACATCTTCCAGTTACTGTAACAAGGAGTTTGTAGGGCA